GTAGAATTTTTCATTGTGAACAACTTTATTTAATATAAAAAGATCGATTTACTTAATAAAAACTTAGCAAAAATAATATTTCATTGTACCGCCATTACTTTCGCTGGGGACTGTATATATATTTGCTAAAGTGAGCCTTGAAACCACATTTATTTATATAAAATTTAATGCATCATTAAATATTTACATATATTCCTACCCCAATTAACCTATTGTTAATTTAAAGCTAGCCTGCCACCTTTACTAAAAGAATTAAATAGACATTTAAATAAATTCATCTAAATAATTATACAAAAAGATAACATGCTAAAGGCAAAAAATTTCCCACTTAGCACCAAAATGTATGAAATTCTGACACCACTCTTCCCATTTATCAGAATGTATAACATTCTGAGAATTGGATGAAGTAGCTTGAGAATGTTTTGTTTTGTGATTTTTTTTTATTTTTATCTGATATCCCAATTGAATATTCCCATTCAATAAACTCCTCACACCTAGGCTTCCAAATTTTTTCAAAGAAAAGTTCCTGGACTATATTTAACAATTCCAGAGCTGTTTTCCTCCCTTTGGATTTTGATTGTTTGATACACGTAAAACTATGTATTATGTTTTTTGAAATTAAGCCTCTTGTGAAATTTTTCATAAAGAGTATACAAGATGTGGGATTGTTGAAATAAGGATCTATTCACAAATTACTGTTTATATATCTATGTAACCATTGTTATTACTATTTTTATTATTTTGGTTATGGTTATTATCCAATAGTGACTGAATGAATTCAGATGTTTTTTTACTGATTGTTTTAATTGCATCTTTTGAATTCTTACAATACCATAATGATCATAATCTTCAGGAGCTAGGACAATTTGTAAATTGCCCATATAAATCAGATCTATGTTTCTTTAAAATTTCTAGTACTGTAGTTCATTATGTAATGGTTTGATTTTGAAGGCTTTCCATTTACTGTCTTTGAAAGATGTACAAGAAAAACTGGTTCTCAGAGATAACCATGTGCACATCTACTCTATTTTATGTATTTCTTCCTCAGTGAAAAATGGTTGAAACCGATTTAGAGAATCCAAGAATTAAATGTTTTGCTTTGCATATTTGATTGATGAAATTTCTACAATGATAATCTATTAGAAAATCTTTCCAATATAATATAACATATTTTTTAGTTATATGGGGGGTGCTCTGGGAAAACTGGGTTTTGAGACTTTTGGTCAAAAAAATTTTTTGCATAATATTAAACTATAACATCATGACTATAATTTGTGAAAAAATTAGATGTGGTTTACTCAGTACAAAAATAAATTCTTGGGGGTAACCAAAATTTTATTTGAATCGAATTTAAAATCAAAATTTAAAAAAGCAATGATCTACATACTGCACATTTCATAATTAATTTAATACAGTCTAACCTTGTCATAACGAATGTGTGGGACTGACCACCTAAATTCGTTGTAACAAAAGTTCATTGAAATGATCAGGATCGACAAAAATTGTTAACATATTGGTATGACAAAAAATTTTTTTACTACAGTCAACCCTCTATAAGTGCACACTCTCCATAAGTGCACGCTATGCCTCATTCCCAACCTTGGGACTTAAGAGATAAATGCATCCCTCTATAAATGCACTGCATGGTCTTTTCCCAATCCCATTCATATAAAACCACCCTCTCTAAATGCATGCCCGTGACTTTCACGTGACCAATGTGCAACAAGAAACAAATTCGTGTCACATTGATTAATTTACTAATTCTTTCTTTTTAATCTACAAAGAGTTATTATGTAGATAATAAAACTTATAGGCAGAATTGTTAAGAATCACACAGAGGATAAAGAGTTATATGCTTTTTTTTAATAGTCAATTAAATAATTGTTAATTATAAAGAATTAAATAAATGTTTACTAATTCTTTCTTTTTAATTGACAGAATAAGAGTGCAGATGGTGAAACTTTTATAGGCAAAATTATTATATATAAGAAGACAAGACAAGAATAAAGAGTTTTAAAAACAAATACATTTACACAAGCTTTAATAAATAAAAAATCTTCTACCATTATTATTACAATAATGAAGATGATGATAGCATTAAACTGGTAATAATAAATGCTGATGGAGCTTCCAAAAGTTTGGAAATTGTCTATGCCTTTTTACTACAACAAGGAAATACTAAAGAACAATTAAAACAAGTTAATGCTCTTGATCGATATATTAATTATAAAAAAAATAAATTCAATGAAACAAACTACAGTGGATCAATTTTTATAATATAATAATAAATAAAAAATTTTTTTAACACAATATCCCAAATGGTCACATGCAGCCAATAAGATTCTTATCCTCCCTAAATGCATCCCTCCATAAATGCACGCTCTTGTCCATTCCCAAGGGGGGTGCACTTATGGAGGGTTGACTGTATAAGAAAAAATTGTTCTTTATTACAAAAAAAAAAAAATTTTTTGGTTGAGATTATTTCTTTTTAATAAGCAAATTTCTCTTTTTTGTTCAGCTGCAATAAAGTTTCACTTTTTAGATGACAATGGCTGTGACTTTGTTTTTTTTTAATACATAACCACCCAAACAACAAGACTTGTATTTGCACCTTTTAGAATTTCTAAAAATATTTAAATCACAAACAATCATACATTTTATTACAATTTTAAACTGCAGGAATAATGTTTTATTATAATTTCTAAATCTTGGAAAATAATCATATGTAAAAGTATAAATTAAGTCAATATATATAATATAATTTGGTTTACCTTTAATTTCGAGTTTTCTTTTCAAGATTGAGTAATTTTTGAGCAATTCCTTGAATATCATTATTTGATAAATTATTTGAATTTAATTTAGGAAAATATAATTTGACAACTCATTATGTAAATTTCTTTCATTTTCAAGCTCTGTATTTAATAAATGAATCTGACTTTTCATATGAATATTTGCACCTCTAATGGATTTAATAGAACCTATTAATCTTTCTTTAATGTGTTCTAAATCTTTAATTTGATCTCCAAATTTTTGAATCTCAGCTTTAACTTCTTGTATATTCTTCAATCAATTCCAAAACATCTTGTAGAAAATTTGATCCAGAAGATTTGCTGTGTATTTCAACAATTGAAATATTTTATCTGCTTCGTTGAAGATCTTCAATGGTTTGAATCAGGCTTGTGTTATGATAGGACCCTGCAAACTATATAGATAGGTCTGTCACATCTAGGTCAAATCTTATAGTAAAGACTTAAAAATTTTACTATAGTGCAAGTCACTTAGTCGCTGAACTTTTTATTG